GACGGAAGAAATAAATGGTTGATCATTCCTGAGACATTTTTGATGTAGAGTAGACCGACAAATTTATTAATTTGAGGAAATTACGCTGTTAACTTTCTGCTGACAAACATATGGTGATAAAGTTGTGCAGAAAACCACCTTCTTTTCACACTTAGTTCAGGTATTTTTCTTCTACTTGCCTTCAGAGCCGTTATGTGTTTTGGGTATTGAGAATAGTGTCTACACACAACATTTCTTATGAACTGTAGGATGATTGCTGTTGTAGTTCAAATGTTATCTTTGCGTATGTTTTCCCTGTACAATTTGAGTTTGAACAGTCTTGTCTTGTCTTCTGATAATAAGGACATCCAAGAAAGAATTTATGTTGTTAGCTTCTTCCTCCTCTGGGAGGTGAATTCCTCTAAATATTTGTTTGATTAATTTTAACCTGCTTTCCACTTTATCCTCTTTGAGAATTACGAACGTACTGTCGACGCACTGGATTTAAACTTTTGGTGTTATAAATGAAGTGATTTAGCAATCGGTGAGCATCCTGGAGTCTTTATTTGCGTCTTTTTTTGTCTATAAATCGTCGTATTGACCTTTGATTAGGTCGTGAGGCATATATCGATTAGCTCAGTAAATTTTAGAACAATAAATTACGTATTATCTGCAAGATTCTGATGATTCATCAGGAGCATATGCATTGTTTCCTTAGGTAGATTCAAGTGGTCTGATGTAAATAGTGAGTCCGCATTAAACGATACAATCATTTCTTCATCATCCTTTATTATTTTTTTTGTCAAAAGTTCAGTTACAAGGTTAACTGAATGGTCATTTCCACCGATGAGGTGCTTAGGTTTTAGATAGATTGGATCATGGAGTCTTAGGTAATAACATTATTGGTTGTTATGGAATATTTGTCTTGTGTATCTGCGGTCAACCGTAGAACCTCGGTGAGTCTGGTTCACTTATGAAGTTAGTACCAAGGATATTGCCACGCCTAGTGATGAAAAGCCTATGATAAAACACCAACCTACCATGATTTGTTTGACTGTCCTCCCTATATGTATAATTTCTACTACACCATAGTAGATCAGTCCACTTTTTATTGCACATAGTGATACACTTGTAGTTACTAGACTTTTTCAACAGAAATTATTGCTCATAATCACAACTATTTACAGAATATGCTTAACAATAGGTGACGATGTAAATTTATTGCCAACACTCATCGGAGGTCATTTACTTTTGAAACCACGTATGTACATGGTTCAGCCATCCTTTACTGCATATTACGGTTACTATTCCCTATGTACATGTGTCCACACGTACATGTAAATTGATGAACTGAGTTGGATATGATGCAAATTTTAATGAGTTGTCTTTGTTTTTGTTGTAGCATGGACTTTGTCTTCTCAACACTACTGATCTTTGGGAACGTGGTATGGTTTACAAATGGCTGATCTCAACCTAACAATAAGGCTTTTGAATCTCCTTACAAATGGAAATGAAATATATGTTATAAGAACTGAAAACTGAATACTTTTAAATGATGCGTAACTTGAAGACTTGTTGATATATTTCAAATAATCAACGCCAAGCTGTTTCCGAGAAAGTACTAGAAATTTAGTAAGATTGTGAGGGAAAGAAAATATTTAATTTGTTGTCCTACGTGCTGTAATTTCATGTCTCTCTATCGACTTAGATAATATGGTAGCTATTCTGAAAGAAATGTTTTCCATTGTAGAATGGATTGATGCATTACAAATTGGTTTTTAAGTGACAAGTTTACATACAATGATAAGTTATTTATGTTTGTAATATTTCAAGAATGAAAATATTTCAGCTTCTGGTGTGGTCACGGGTGGTAATTTTGCCTGAAATATTATCAGAATAAAAAGCTTATTACTATGTGCAAACTTGTTACTTAAAAAATTATTTATGATACATTATTCTGAAGGGCTTTAGAAATGACAAGAAAAGTCTTAAATCAGAATAGCTCTATTTAAAGTGGGGTCGCAGTTGTCTAAATAAGAATAAGGGGAAAAAACACTGCCTGACCTGGTTTCCTTTCATCCCACATACTGACATAACCAAGCTTATCAAATGCCTCATCAAGTGAACCTTCACTGATTCTAGTCATAATGATACTAACTAACATGTGATTATGACAGTAGCTCACCATGACTACATTCACCTGTTTACGTGGTCCAATAACTAAAACAAGAAGTAAGTTCAGAATGCATTGTTTTAATGGCTAGTTACTTACTTCTGTTAGAATCTCTGGGCTTATTTCTTGTTCAGTTAGGTGTTCGTATATACAAATGCTTATTTGAAACCTCATAATATCAGTATTTCATCGTGTTATGCGATAATAGTACTATGGTATTTTCCATTCAATAAGTTCATATCATAATGTCTCCTAAAGTTTTAAAAATGTCATTTGCACTAAATCATATCAGCTCTGTGTGTACAATGATCTCATTAACTGTACTAATCAGCTCACTGTCTTTTAATATGGTTTTGGTACATGTAAAAACGTTAACATACTTCAGAACGTTTCGGGTACAAATGCACAAATGTTGCTTGATGCTACTCATGGAATAAATGTTCCAGGTGGTTCAAATTTTTACATCAGCCAACACCAGTATGGTTAATTCAAATATTGTACCTCTATACAAAGATCTAGCACGATGTCTAAATACCCTCAACGTTGTAGGCAACGATAGAAATATGAATGAAGTGGAGAAAACCACTACATCATACAATGCGATAACTTATGTTCACTGAAATGAAGAAATACGTATGGGATCAACTAATAGAACAAGAAAAAGACATTAATCCAACTATAAGAAGTTAGTATCTCTATTGTAGCGTAAACGTTGGCTTATCTTTAAACCGTTTATGAAATATATTTTATGGTCATCAGACTTAATGGTGAAGTAATTATTTCTGTCTAAGAAATGTATCAAACTTATTCAACCAGCATAATTCATATTGTACAGTGAAAGCATAGAAAAGATAGATAGATGATAGAAAAGAAACCACCCATCCAAAGCCAAAAGTTTCTCTTAGTTTTTTATCCTACTCAAAATGTATCAGTAGTTAAACTGCTGTCTCCATAAAATTAGGGTTATTTCAAATGATGAATACATACATGAAAAGAATTATTCTTCCACTGCAAAATCGTTAAAGGAACAAAACTTCAGGAGTCAAAGCACCCTTCTTTACGAAAAACAACGGTGATTAATTGACAAGAGTTTGTCCATGTGTTATTCTATAAAGCGTTAATTTGCAATCAGTTGTGTTTTAAACAGATCTTACTAAAGTTATTGGCTACTGTTTGATCGGGAAGAAAACCCAGAATATGTTTACTGTCAGATGTAATCACCGTTATTTAATTTGGTTTACATTTGTAACAGGATGTTAGCCACTGAATCCCAAGTTATCTTAACCTAGTTTCGGAATATGCTTACGGCTCCCGTTGATTTCACTTAGCATTACATTCAGCTCTACGACTACTTTCTCCTACCTATGGACAATTGAAGAAAAGTCGCTCAAACAAGTGTGATAAACTATTCTTTTTGTAAATACAGGAATTTATACTTAGAGCGCAAGCAGATATTCAAAGGCACCTTATTGGTGTCATGATATAAAAATGTTACATTTATCCAGCGATCAGGAAAGAAAAGATGTTTGCTTGTCTTTTCATTAAGATATCAAAATACTCAGAGATATTAAAGCTATAAAGAAATTACTATACTTAGCAGAATGAAGAAAAACTGATATTCCTCTTGTATCAGAGTTAAAAATGGTTAATTTTATGTCAAGTTCAAATCATGATCTGTACTTCACTTGGCACTTGTAACTTCCGAGCTAAATTATGCATCTTACTGAGAGTGACAAAATCATCATGACCTCCCTGAGCTACAGGTTTTCTTCGTCAGTTCTCTTAGCTCTCCGGTACGTGGCAAATCTTTTCTATGTTTAAATGTATCTCATAAATTCTTCGATGATCGTTAGAATGCAAGTAATCAGTAAGTAAGCAAAGATACACAGTATGAGACAAGTTTTCAAATGTCACTTTTCTATAAACGTCTCACTTTTTTGAACAAACTAAGAATCTTTCCGTGAATAGTACAAGAATATTTTTTGATATTTTGTAGCAACTAACTTTTGTTTCGAATGTATGACAAGCATATATATATATATATATATATATATATATATATATATATATATATATATATATATATATAAATTCACTTTTGAAAAATGAAATTAATCACAGTAGTACTTTTTCGTTTTGTGTTAGTTATAAACGTATAAGCTATTTCTTCATAATTACAATAAATTAAGGACGCGTGAATGCCTTTCAACACGGTAAGGCATAAAAATAAAACTCACTGTATTGTGCCTCCCCACGGAAATCTTTGATACAAGATGAAAGATTTATTCGCAAACGAGACGTCAGAGTTAAATGCAACACTGAACAGCTAGTGAGTTTCACTGTGTGACATTTCTAATAAACAGACTAAAATGGAATTACAACCGACCACAGTCCCCAAGTTTTACTCCTGTATTAGTTAGTGAGTTAGTTAACCATCAAAGGAATCAGGAAACAGAAAGATCAGGATTCACATTTATCACTATCAATTTCTTTTCTTCTTAGCGTGGTTTTCACATGCTATTCCCAGTGCATGTCATTTCTCCTGAATTCATCAGCATAGCATACTCATTTTCAAGGGTTTGTCTAACTTAGAAAATCGACTTTCTAGTACCTACAGCTCTTGGTTTTCATATAAAACCAGTTGGTGAGAATAAACCACCCAAGAAGTTTTTAGAAAAGGATTTCGGTAGGATTTTCTAGTGCTTTCTTCTATTTTTTTCTAAAGACTATTACAATTCAACAGTCTTTCGCATATTAAAAAAAAGAGGTACCAAATGTAGTTTTCTGAGTAATCAAATATTCCTATGTAAAAGTAATGCTAATAAATTAGAACTTTTCTAGTAGGTAATTATTTTAATACGAGAAATACATTCTGAGGCACATAAGAACTGGAATAATACTCTTCAATTTTCACCGCAACCATAAAAAGACATCTATTCTTCAACATTACAGATAGTCGACGCTTCTCCCTTGGACGAAGTTCCGGTCTGTTTAGAAGAAAAAGAAAGACAACAAAAAGGAAATGTATTCCGCTACACATCAGAAATTATAGCGAAAATGAGCTATTTTTTGGTGTAGTTTCCAATAAAATTAAAACCTCTATCAAGAAAATTCTTTCAGCCTTTATTTTAAGACTCTCAGACAAATCAACTCCGCTATTTCGTTGAATGATTAACCGAAACTGTTCTCAACTGATTGCGTTAAATATTTACAGACAAACCTAGAATCCCCACTACTATAATATGCACTAACTACTCAAAATAATCACATTTTCAACACACAGTCATCTGTATTCCTACATAAATTGTAAGTATGTGGAACTGATTACGTAAAGAACCTCTTGTTGACAAAGTCTTCTGGTATGCTGTTATGGGACTGGAGTTTATCTTTAAGGATATAACTTGGTTTCCGTGGTACTGAAATGATCTCTATTGATAAGTTAGGATAAGTTCGACACACCAAGGCATGGTTTTATCTAGTATCTCAGGATATGTTGAGCTCCGTGTCAGCAGCATTTAAGATAAGTAAATAAAACATTAGTTAGCATTTGTGAGGCTAAGGCGGACCATCTGTTCCTAAAATCTGAATGGTCAGTTTTTCTTAAATCTATTCACAGTAGCTATAACCTCTAAATAATTGGAATTTTAACGATACATTCATAAGGCTTAGTTATTTTTGGCTTCGAAATATCGTGATGAATGAATCTTATAACCAGTCTCATTAATAACAGGTTTAACAGCAACCAGACAGTCAACGACGACTGCAAATCATCAACGTCAACGAATCTGAATTAGTATGACTATCATTTAGACTCACATGGTCTTTCACTGGTGTTTGCGTTTAGTAACATTGACGTCTCCTGAAGTAAGTGTTTTATCAAAAAGTAAACTTTCCCATTCACTTCGGCAGTTTTAACAGAAAAACGTAGCAAAGGGCATGCGAAAATATATCTCTAGAAGAAAGGTTTAGAGAAACATGAATATATATCTCAATCATGATACTTCTTGGGTTCTTGCCTACAGCTGACGTCCATTAATAGGTAGATACACAAGAACCTCAAGACTAGCCCATTTGTTATATAGATGGCGTCATGAAAATTCTCTTCTAAACGTTCAAGTCATATACATCATTACCAAATTCAAACAAGGATCATCGCCTTGAATTCATGATTTGATAGTGAAAAATTGGAAAAAACATATATGAAGAGTAAAATAAATGAGTATTTTTAATCAGAAACTTCATGTATACATGCAATTTAAACTGGTTATCGGTGATGAAGACATCTGCTTAAACGTATCATGCAATGAATCATATAATACTTATTCTGAGCGAACATTTCAAATGGTGAATATAGTGAGAACTAGTACGTATATTTTGATGAAGTTGGTTTGGTTATATGTGACATTCTTATTAATTATAATTGCACATATTCGTATTTGATTACACTCACATGAATAGAGTGAATGATTTCAACTTGATTAAAAATTCTGATTATTACTCAAAAGCCATCTGAATAAACAAAAAATAATTTGTTCGATAACTTCTTTAGGTCCTACAGGTACATGTATATACTGAAAAAATCTGCGTCAGAAATACTGAGATTTTGCTTAATTTGTTGGTAATATGCATTTGAGGAAGTCAATTTTAGAATCTTCCAGTGTTAAGGTTACTGATAGAATCGATTATTACCAGCATATAATAAGAGATGATGACGCAAACTTAATTACGAAAGAATAGAAACAAAGGAAACAATGGGCCGACCACTTCGAAAAGCTCCTGAATCGGCCACCACCTGCACTTCGTCCAGAAATACCACCTACAGCCACAGAACGACAAGTGAACACAAGCCCTCCAACGAAAGTCGAAGTCGTGAATACCATAAAGCAACTGAAATGCGGGAAAGCAGCAGGACCAGATGGGATCCCACCAGAAGCACTGAAAACAGACGCAGAGACAACAGCAGACATGCTCACACTACTATTGCACAAGGTGTGGAAGGAGGGGAAGGTACCTGCTAACTGATTGGAAGGAGGGTTACCTTGTCAAACTCCAGAAGAAGGGAGACCTCCATGTTTTGCAAGAACTGAAGAGGAATCACACTCCTGTCCACACAAAGCAAGCAAAATATTAGGCCACATCATCCTGGAGAGACTAAAGGATGCACTGGATTCAAAACTACGACCGGAACAAGCTGGCTGGCCAGCTGGATTTAAGAAGTACAAATCATGTGCCGACCAAATTGCAACAATACACTACGCATCGTCATAGAACAGAGCATTGAACGGCAGTCAACTCAACTCTACCTCAGCTCAACTCAAATTCAACCACTTTGAAAAAGCCTTGACAGCGTCCACCGGGAAGTAATTTGGCAGGCAGTTGCTTCAACACTACCGAATACCACAAACCTCTATCAGCCTCATTCAACAAGTATATGAAGACGCCACATGCCGGCCAAGTAATTCACAATGGGAAGCTCAGTGATGCCTTTGAAGTGAAGTGAAGACAGGAGTGAAACAAGGCTGTCGCCTACTATCACCCATGATATTCCTGATTGTGGTCGACTGGACTGAATCATGCAACAAACAGTGAGGAGCTGTGGGAAGAGCGGGATACGCTGGACTGCAGAAAAGAACCTGGAAGACTTGGATTTCGCCAACGATGACCTGTGTCTGATGTCACACAAACTTGCAGATCTACAGGCGAAGGCTGATAAGTTGATGGAAGAGACAGGCAGGCAGGCAGGCAGGCAGGCAGGCAGGCAGGCAGGCAGGCAGGCAGAGCAGCGAAGACGGGACTTCAAGTGAATAAAGAGAAGACAGAGGTGATGAAGATACCCAACCAACAACGTAAACAACAACAAACTGCAATCACCATCAACGGGAGAAACTTGAAGGAAGTAGCCTCCTTCTCCTATCTAGGCAGCACTATTTCAACTACAGGCGGCGGCACAGGCACAGACGAGGATGTCAAAGCCAGCCAGGATCGGAAAGATAGCAAGGCAGGTGTTCATCGGCCTGAAACCAGTGTGGAGATCTTCTGCACTCCACTCAGCATGTGGAACAAGATACGGATTTTCAACACCAACGTCAAGTCAGTGCACCTCTATGGTTCAGAGACTTGTCGTGTTACGAAAGGGATTTCCAACAAACTACAGACATTCATCAACAACTGCTTACACTCGCTACTGAAGATCAGATTGCCAGAGTAAGAGTAAGAGTGCGCAACAAGAAAATCTGGCTGGCAACGAACCAACCAAGAAGCTTTCGCTGAACAAATATGCACTGGAAGGAAGTGGAGATGGATTGGATTGGATTGGATTGAGCATCCACTGAGAAGGCCGACTGAGGACATCACGCGTCAGGCCAGTTGCTCGAGTGGAACCCCGATGAGAAGCTACGAGTTGGGCGTCTGAGGCGAGGGTGATATGGACGAGATCGTGCGAGGAGGAAATGAGAGGTTGTGGGGAGTCGTGGAGCCAGGTTGAAAAGATTTCAGAGAACAGAGTGCATTGGAGACGTGTTAGTGAAGCTGTATGTTCCATTAGGAACCCAAGGGACTCATAATAATTACCAGCATATGTATTAATCAAAAGTAGCTCTCTTGATAAATTCGTAAGAAAAATCATGATTACAAAAATGGCGTGAAAGGTTGTTTCAGCGGCTGTGGAAATACCATTGTATATTTGAATACTATTAAGAGGTGAAGCACCTAACGATAAAATCAATTCACAAACTACGCATATTAACTTAAAGAACTTTTAATATGGATAAATTACAAACTAATCTTCCCACCTGCCGAATATTGACACCGAGAATCGAAGATGAATTGCTTAGACTGGCCACTTCCTATTATTTTTACCATTTTGACTGCTCCTGAGGAACCGGTTATGTTGGTCGCTGATCTAAGTATTCAGTTGCTCATGCTTGCGAACACCGCGCAGCATGGCGAATTAAAAATGTGATAAAGACAACAACCAGCTGTATATAAGCACACTTGGTTGAAACGAACAATAAGGTAGGTATAAATGAGACGTTTTCTATTCTGTACCGGAATCCCATCATATTCTGGAAGGGCACACGGTTCGTAATCCTGAAGATTGGAGAAGCAGTAGCAATCAGGATCAAATGCCTTAGTAATGGGTACAAAAAAGCAATTATTACCCCAACTACCATACCCCGATTGAGCACGCACACATACTTTAATATCCCATCAAATGTAAATTCATTTTTTAAACTCCTACTGTAGATATTTTTCCGTCCCTATAATCTAGAATAACTTAGCACGTTCTCTTGACCTATTTTGTCACCCAACGTGAGTAACATTTTATTAAGCTGTTATTCTTCAAATTATCTTTCTTAGTTTATTTCATCCAGTTTTGATAAACACTTTCCTTTTGTTTTAATAAACTATCACTTAGAACACTACCGATGCCATATAATTGTTTAGATAATCAGTTGTTTTGAATTTGATTCGCCTGATACATGGTTCTGTCATTGACGCTCAGACGAGATCTTTCTGAATTAAATTCCCTAACTGTATAATATTATTAACAAACTGGGGAAAATCTCAATATTGTCGAAGCATAGTTTTTCAGTATGAACTTATAACTGTGAGATCTGAAGAAGTTATCGAGAAGAATATTCTCCATTCACTTAAGTGGATCTCAATGTCTTTAATAGATCAACTTACTTTGCCTTTATTCCCTCCAAAGAACCTTGATCCAAACCGACGCTGAAGAAGTGCACGAAATCTAGGGTATCTGAAAGCGTAGATGCATGGGTCCCATACGGCTGCAGTTTTGGCAAACAAACAAGGCAGTTCAACCACTACTGGCGTAAGAATGTCCGGGTAACCAATAAGGGCTATGAAGCATACAGCAGCATATGGTGTCCAACATAGTGAATAAACGCCTAACAATATCCCCGCTGACTTCAGCACAAAATTATCTGACTTCGTAGATGCTATTTCGTGAAAGAAGAGAGCGAATAATAGAAACGGAATTATTATGATGGAAATTTTTGAATATGCAACTTAGCATATGTACAGTAACAAAAGGATTCACTGAAATGTACCGCGATAAAATAGAAGAACAAATAATGTTTAGTGAAGGAAAATACTGAAAATTTATATATATAATCAATGATCCAAAACCTTCCACTGTCAACTGAAGCTCAATGCATCTCAGTATTTGAACGATACTTTAATTGAAGTGCAACAAAAACGTAATCTTGCTGTTAAGATGATAAATACAATTAGCCTGATTTTTAGCGCTGAGCTGATCCACCAATAGTGGTCCACATTTGTAGATAACTAGCCAAGTTATAAAAGCACATATATTTAGGCTTCATGATATCTTTTACGTGATGTGACTCGAACTCAAAAAGACAGTAAATCCTAATTCTGTCAGTCAACCACACACCTGTGTGGTTCATAATTCGGCTGCCTAAAGTCACACCCTGAACAGCTGATTATGAAGATTATCTCGTCAAATTTTTTCCGGAGTCTTCGATCTTATTACATACCAGTAACTGGGTAAGGATTTTGGATATAAAGGAGCTTGAAATCCCTAGTTGTATATCTTTATGAGTGCGGTTTAATGTATTACACCAAGTGCCAAGCCTTAATCAATATAAATATGCAATAACCTGCTAGGCCTACAAGTTCATCCACGTCTTATTAGGACTAGACAATATGAAGGTGATTGTCCTCAATGTACTTAATCCAGTCCCAGAGGAGGCCATTTGCTTCCCTTATATGTCAGTGGTAAAGTTTCTGACTGTAGCACTGGTTTATACAGGTTCGAAGCTAAGGCAGGACATCAGTTATATCAACGTCACAGATATCCCTTGCTGACAAGAGGCAAAATGCATATAACCTACTGATTGCCTACATCCAACTAACATCTTTTTCTGTTGATGCACAACTGTGGTAATTAATGAAAGGGGAAAAAACCGTTGTTAAGACTTTAAACCGAATTCCAATCAAGAAAGCTGATATTTGGTATCCATTTGCTTTGTATAAAAACAGAATACAGTGTGATTGAACACTCAGGTGAATATATCTCTTAAGTTCAGGTGTGAATTGTTTGAACTGGAAGACTGTCATGAAGTGTTAATTCAGTACACAATCACATCAGAGAGGTATTCTCCAGCCAATCAGTAATCATAGCTTCATTTTTTGTAACAACGGTCACCTCTACAAGTTCTCACTTAAAGATATTCCTCTTTGATATATAGTGTTACCTTCTGAGTCTCAGTCTCGACAAGTTTCGTTTATTCAGTGCTACTATTTAAAAGAATTCGATTCACTTACCCACAGTAGCACTTTTAGCCTTTTGATTATCACTTTTGGTGCTTGTTCTTGCTGCCATTTCCATGAAGTCTTTTCCGCGTCTTTTAACAATGAGAACAATCCTGGCATAGCAGAAAATTGATAGAAACAGAGGACATAGGAAACCAAAACCAAATAGTCCAATGTTGAATAATCGGTTCGAAAAATCTGTCGATATGTAGTCAAAAGTACATGATGTTTGATAGCCTTCTAACACATATCGCCCTACAGAAAGTGAGGAAAATCAAACATTTGATCAAACTGAATTGTTTTATTCAAATATAAACTGAAAAATGTAATGTGCCATTCTCAGAAATTCTCTAAATCTTTTCAAATAAAAACTATCAATTACCAAGAATTAAATACTTTCCTTAATGAACTTGAAAGATCAGGAACAACAATTGGAGTAAAAAGAAACGGATGCATTCATTTTGATGCACATATTGTCAAACATTTACAACCTAAAATATTAAAACACATAGTTTTACTGTTGTTTAGCACTCTTTAATTCACTAGAAAAATCAAAATATCGGTCAGTAGTAGGGATGGAAAGGAATAGTTATAGGGTAGAGAAAAATCACAATTGTTACATCAAAGCAAGGGAAATAAAGTCCAGCGAACCATCGCAACTGAAAATATAAAACAGCTGATGTTTCATGAAAACGAGCAAAGTGCGCACCAACCAAAATATTTAGAGAGTCAAAAGTAGGATTACCTAGGTAGGTTACTAGTGAAATTGCTATTGGTCGAAACATGCAAAACTTAATGAGTTCAGCTTTATTAGTTTAAAATAATTTACATTAATACTCGGTTGAACAAAAGATAGTGCAACTGAATAAGAGTAATAAATGAAATATCTTTATTTACTTGAAGATGGTCCAGTCAAATGACAGTCAAGAACAAGTTACTGAAGTAGACAGAGGTTACCTGTAGATTCTTTTTGAACACTTAAATCGGGTTTAAGGCGTTCAAATGATAGATCATAGCGAACTTGGGGAGAATTGGGATGAATTATTTGTTTATTATCCTGATGTATTGTCACCAGATTCCGAGAGATTGTGAGACTATAGGAAAAGATAAAAGACGATTTCAGAGAAAAAAACTTTTGCTTTTGACGAAATCATTCTGTTAACTGTACATTCCTGAATATATGGTAGAAAGAACAGATCATTCTTGAGTAATTTGTAGTCATGCATCAGTACAAATCGCTTGACAAAGGGAAGTTATGTAGTGTCCATAGGCGTTTAAAAAGGGGAAATAAGCAAAAGGATGACAGAAATAAAAAGTAGTAACTCCATGAGAGGATCATGTAGAGAGATCAGTCCACTTCGATGAACATAGTGAAGGAAGAAATTGTGAAATTTTGGTACTTCTCCTTAGTCCTAGATTTTTCAGAACATGTTCAGAAAGCCTAATGCAGGCTCCTCTTTCTGCCACTAGAATGCGTATTCTTTAGCACCCACACATGAGCTGATATGCAAAGTCGAAGATATCTAAGGAAGGATACTTTTCGGTTTTTGACAGAAAGAATAAATGTATATTGTTGTGTTCACAGGAATTAACTTGGTTGCACAAAAAATCTAGCTAGTGATAACTTCAATCCTCTGTTGATTGTTCATGAAATATCATCACTCCGAAAATGCAGGTGAATAAATGAAGGCATTTTGATAAAGATGACTCCATCCAGGCCTATATCTTTAATCATTTCATATATTGGAATAGATGTTTGTAGATATACGTTGTCTCGAAGGTATCTCTGAATGATCTGAAACACTTCCTCCAGTTTATTACTGTAACATACCATTTTCACTCTATGGAATAATGTTTTAGCTAACGTCCTCCTATAGGTAATCTGACGAAGGATACTAATTTGAATGGTACTATCAAGAAATTTCAGCTTCTTGTTAATTTGATATTTTATGATGAACTTAATACTGTTAGGAGTGCGATTGTTATGAAATTCTAATATTTGAGAAGCATAGTATAAATCATTGCATATGACGAACATGTCGCCCATATGCTTAGCATGAAATGTTACCTTTTACATTTTAACGTTGAAGTTTTCCAATCTGTGGGTTTATCATGAATACATGTTCTTTAGGTTCCGTATCACGACTACATTCAGTTTACATCAAGCTTGTCACTACATTGATTCGTCTAGTCTTAAGTACCACCGGTCACCCAGAATGATCAAACAGAGTAGATACATGTAAGTTTTATGAACTGTGAGCAGAGTAATTTTCAGAACAAATTTTGTATAAAAACATGCGTATCCGTAGTTGAATATCCCTTGGAATTAAAAATAATCCATAATGTCTGGCCATTTGTTTTAGGCCAAACTAAAATGACAGTGTATCCTTGTATCAAAATTGATTATATATAAAGAACAACAATTAATCATGGAAAGTAGTTCTACTGTGCAAAGGAATTTACAAAATGACATCGTAAAAAATTGGCGTGAGCAAGACCAGTTGAAACATATATGATTCTATGTTATGTAGTCTCACAAATTCTGTGGTGAGATTACTGATTTCCTGATGTTCTGAAAACCCAGATTTATAGATTATTAATTGGCTTTCGATCAGAAAAAGACATGTATAAAAGAGAGGGTTATCCAAGTTACATTTGTTGACCAATCAGATAGTTCTCAGAAACTGGCGCCCATAATCAGAATATGCCTAAGTTCATGACACTGTTTCATTGTGTGATCATATTCATCCAAGTAAGTTGTAATCAGCATCATTATTGAACTGAATATTCGTTATTAGTGGATTTCATTACTTTCTCACTTTGATATAACCTTTGATTCTATTGGTTACTGATTTAGCATGAATTGTTAACGTGTACTAGTGAATACTTGCACACTATCTTCTAAGTCTCCCACTTGACGGTAACTCGACTCTTTAAAATTAAAAGAGGCAATTGCACAACAGACGTCAGTATTGCAGAGAAATGATTGACTACTTGTTTAGATATTTGTTACCTCAACGGTTCTAGTGTATTTAATTTTATTGATTTTCGCAAAATTAAAAAGTCAGGGGATTAAACACACGACGTTGTTATTTACTGAAAGCTTCTAAATAATCTAGTTGTTTCTGAATGTATTCTGTGACCTCTTGTTTCTGGTGAGATGCAGTAAGCAGATGCTTCACCTTCTTACATTGATAATACGCTTTGTTAGTCGATGGTACTACTGTATTTTGTGATAAAACAATTGAAACTTACAGTCAGCCAAGTTATAGAAGAGGTAGAATAAGTCTAAATCGGAGTTGTTCTTTCTTTAAAATAACTTGATTATAAGTAGTTATTTGTCATTTACTATACTATTTATATTTTCTTACCGAATCCGAAGAGCGGTGGAATTGTCCAAATGAGAGACCAAACCCACAAAAATAACATTAACATTATTGTTCTTCGATTAGTTGTTTGAAATACACTTTCGAAAGGAGTCGCTATAACCATGTAACGATCTACTGCAACAGCGGCTATCGTAGACAGAGATACAAATCCGAAAAGTCCACCAGCTAGACCATATAAGTCACATGCTATAATGAAAGCAAGGAAAAGTCTCAATATTCCCATGCCACAAGTTGTGAATGTACTTTAAACGCCATTTTTATACAATGAAGTTATTTTAACTGAAATGCATACGTTAGGAAATGACTGCTAAATTACTGTCGTGAGTATAAGTTAGATTTATGTTGTGTCAGTATGGTGGAATAAATGTCATGACGACTTGGTTGCTTTTTGAGTTATCAGTCACCATCAATATTCAGACTCACCACCTATGTATTTAGGAAAGATGAATAATGCTCACTGTCAGTGGATTCGGTCGTAAGATTCATACCATCCGTGACCATACTTTCGCATAAGTCTTTCCATGTATAAATTATTTCCTGAATATCGACCTAAATATAGAAGGTATACTTACAGGTTATTATTCTTTACCACATTAAGATCAGACGATTCTGGTTTTTAAATAAATTTGCGGCCTTATTTTGTAGTAAGGTTATTTACTCAGTTATACTTTCAAGGAAACGTTACTTTCAGTTTCATCGGAAACAGTTTTCTACTACCTTCTTTAAAATATTGTTTGGATTCATTGGGACCGCTTAAAAGATAGTAGCGACAACATGTAGTTGAAGCCAGAGGCTGATTCAGTTACATAGATAATAACGTATCATCATCCAAGTTGGTTAGGGAAGAGTTGGCATTAGATCTCAAGGCTGTCATCTAGTATGAAAAGGTCTCAAACTATTGGAAGAATATAGTGAATCTCAGAGCACCCAGCCAAGGATGTAGTCATTCATTCTGCACAACTTTGATAGTTAAAATGTGCTACATGTGAACGAATAATCCTTCGGGATGAATTTATTGGGAAATGAGATGTTAGTATCATGAGTAATGCCATGATGAAAGGTTTAATTTTCAATATAGCATCACCCAAAGGAGACTAAATTCCCTCAGCACTGTGAACGAGGATATATATTCCTGTTCTTTGTGTTTGTGATGACTGTTTCTTCTTGGGGAAAAGAAATGAGCAGTTACATTCAACTAATTATAATTTTTCTTTCAAAATTAAAAAATGATTTCCAAATGAGACCGAATTTCAACTTCATTTTTACAATCGATTTGTGCAATATGCATCACACTGACATACGTGGATTAAGAATGCAAACTGTCCAACCCGGTGAAGGCTAACAACAAATTACCTGATCTACATTGCCATCAAATCAGAAGTGAACATTTTCCAGGTCAAACAGACTGGATTTCATCTTAATTTCTTTTTAAAGGGAAACCGTTTATTGTTACTCAAAAGAGCTATTTGATAAGAGTAGGAAATAATGAATTTTTATGAAAATATGTATTCTGTGAATAGAAATGATATTATAGGTTCGAGTTACAAAAGATTCACCAACTGGTTAATATTCTTACGGAAAATTAAACAGTCACACTGGGATTATGAGAGAAGTTATGCATAATCGATTTAACTGTGTTGTATTCAAAGCGTAGATTTGGAAGCTGACTACTGTTGAGTGCACTTAGAAACTTGTTTACTTGCATTTTAAGAAATTTAAATTTGTCTGAGCAAGTACGACAGAAAAACGTAAAGACGTGTTGAGTTTCTTAACTCTCTAAGCATCCTTGCAATTCTTAAAATAAGGAAAAATCCCTATTTGGTCAATGAAAAACAAAAAAAACGGTTACTGAGTAAATAATTGTCTTTCTCGATGACTCGTTTCCACAGCTAAAAATTGGTAAATATACGACTAAAATTATACACTGGTTTAGACAGTTTTCCTACCAAAGGTCAAATATTGTTGATATATGTAGAAAGGGGATGAAATGTAATTACATAAAACAAGAAGTCTCAATACTATTATACATATATATATCGAAGACACATTCATTACAGACTAACATCATTTGGAGAGCTATTGAAAACCTGGGAGCACTAACAGCTGTTAGGTTCAAGTACTGGACTTATCAGTAGTATGCACCGTGACCCGGCTAGGGATCAAACTGGAGATCTTCAGGCTTAACGGCGAATGTGCTAACCATTCAACCACTGGGTCGGTATTCAGCGGTTCATAACTTCCTATTTTTGTCATTTCGCGATATGGCGCAGCCATCATCCAGGTTATTCTGTAGACATCCGCTTCACTTCCATCTAGTTGACTCCACAAGTCATGACTTCATACTGGAACTTCGGGATGTTCATCTGGAAGCATGTCATTGATGAGCACAACTGAGGAGTCCCACACTGGAAGAAACGGCCATTTAGTGCCTCCAGGTTTTCAATGACTCTCCAACTGATATCAGTCCGTGATGAATAATACCTGAAAATAAAGATCCCAATCGACCGCAAGAAGTATATATATATATATATATATATATATATATATATATATATATATGTTTATTCATTTCTACCAGATGCCAAATCTTATTGTTCAATGCATCTTATAAAAATTATTGAGCTTGTTTTGCGTTACGCAATAACATTTGTTCTCTTTATACAAATGGCAATTAAGTTTAATTTTTGGCCGGAAACTTGTCAGGAACATTCTGCCATCTAAAGTATATATTCATCAATGTACAGATATGAAAACGAGTCGTCCAAATAAAATAATTATTTTCGCTGCTATCTGCTTTTGTATTTTTTTGATCAGATGGGAATTTTTCGTGATTTAAGTGTAAGTTTGTTTTTAGGTCGATAGTTTTATTGTTGTTAACGAATCTCTACCCACTGATATTCTAGCAACGTTCTGATGAGGACTTTGAAAAGTAACTCTGATTTTACATCCATCATGTGCGCAAGAATATAAGCATCCTAAGCGAATGAAGCTGATTTTCATTTGATCTACATTCCATTTGTGATAACAAGTAAACTCCAAATGTTTTTTCAAGCAGACTCAGAAACTGTTAAAGGAGGTAATCCTGGTTACAGGCTTACTGTCTATCCTGCACCCACACAAAACTACTGAATTAGTCAGCTATGCATACAGAAGGTCAGAACGTTTATTTCCGAATTTCAGTAACATAAACTACGCAGGGTAAAGGTTACATTGATGTAGTCGAAGCTATTTCCTAAGGAATTTTTTTGAACTTAAAAGATCACAAAACTTTGACGTACAGCTATTTTAAGACCTTATACCTTTCGGGAGCAGTGGTCTCTTTCTTACATTTATTTGACTAAAACTGGAATTTTTACTCGGTTTATGTGGACTAAATGAAATTTGATAGGTATTTCTGTAAAACGGCATATTTTGGTGAATGAACAGATAGAAGGTTGCAATAGGATACTGTTTTATGTCAGGTCTTGAGTTAATAAACAGGATCTTAATCTGAGACAGAATTCAACTCCTTCTAGATCAGTGGAAAGCACCTTTAAGGTAGACAATAAGTAAATAAATAAATAATAAAGGTAGGTCGCTTACGCTAGCATATTACTTTCAGTGCAGTTTTATCAATTCATTTTATACCGCCAACTTTTTAGTTATCTATCATTTTATTAGGTACCAGTCCAGTACTCCTTCCTCCTCTGTCATCACTACTTGTAGATTGAGCCACCACCTTGCCAAAATGTACTGTTTCTACAGAAATTTGAATTAGCATCACAGCTCCGATCCAACTTAAGGTTATTATTATTTATTATTAGTCCTTTGGGTTCCTAGTGGGACATAGGGCTTCAGTAGCACGTCTCCAGTGACCTCTATTCTCTGAGATTTTTTGAACCTGGCTCCACGACAACCCACAAGCTCTCATTTCCTCCTCGCACGATCTCCTCCATGTCACCCTTGGACGTCCAACTCGTCACTTCCCATGGGGATTCCACTCGAGCAACTGGCCTGACGTGTGATGTCTTCAGTCGGCCTTCTCAGTGCATGGCCAATCCATCTCCACTTCTTCCTGCATATTTGTTGCGTGATAGCTTCTCGGCTGGTTTGTTCCCAGAGTTCCTTGTTGCTTATTCTTTCTGGCCATCTGATCTTCAGTAGCGAGTGTAAGCAGTTGTTGATGAATGTCTGTAGTTTATTGGAAATCCCTTTCGTGACGCGCCAAGTCTCTGAGCCATACAGAAGCACTGACTTGACGTTGGTGTTGAACATCCGTATCTTGTTCCGCATGCTGAGTGCAGAAGATCTCCACACATCCAACTTAAGATACTTTATTTAATTACAGCTGTTCTATAATGCCAACGGCAGGCCACGAAATTCCGTAATATCATTATCGGTTACAGAATGGAAGATAATGTTATTTGGTTAGTAAAACATGAGGAGCCTATCTGGAAATAATATGCTAGCAACAAAATATTTTCAGTATACTTAAGTGAATCAATATTTACGAGATATAAACATATAATATTCTTTGATTGTTATTAGTGTTCAGTGAATCATTAATTATTTAAGACGGACACAATTTTAATTTATTAACAACGTTACAAACTTACCAGTTTTTCCCCATGGCCAAAAGTTATTAAAGGCAGACATGGTTTTCAGGGGAAAACCATTGACTGCTGAAAATCCGAAATCTGATACTGCTAAATTTACAACAAGCATATTAGAAGGCGTTCGTAGAGCTTTTACCCTGAGGGAGGTTGGAGGAAGCAAACAATAAAAATATGTAATGAAATAGACAGTCTTTATTCTTTTACCAGTTCGTAAATCTAAGGATCTTTTGTGAATTAAATTGACATGTGGAATAATTTTCTTGACAAAACAGCTTAACATAATGATTAAACTAACGACTACAGACAAATACAAAATATGACGTCTTCAACATGTACTGGCAGATGAAGCAACATATTTCAAGGCTGTTGTGAAAACTGGAAAAAAGTAAGATTCCTAAAAAGCAAGCGTCTGAAAATAATGATATATAGGGAAGATAATTTTCAGAGTTATTTGCAACTCAGATTAAAAACGCTGAAAAAAATACTGATTCATTCCAGAATCCACAAATTAGGTTAAAATCAACCTGCAAGAAGCATTTTCCACTGAATTTCTTACATTATTCAGCATTAAGAGAAATAAATGACAACAATTTTAGCACAGTGATAATCACATTCTTCCTAGTAAAAGTAACTTGGAAATAATATACGTGTTTGAAATTTTTTTGACAAGATGATATCCCTTAGACTTGTTGCTGAAATCCGGTATTGCACAGCTGAGAAAAAATAAGTTCAAATCTTTGAAGGTACATTACTTTGTTTTCGGTTTCATATAAGCTGACATGGTGATTTCAGAATCGATAGGATATACTGGTTAAGCATATATGATAGAATAACAATTATAGAAGACGTTTTTTAAAATCATGTTTGTGAGACAAACTCAGACACTAATGTCCTGTGTATTTCGACTTGTTCGGTAACTTCTGAATTCCACACTTTAGCTTCAAAATAGGGAGGACAAATACCAAACAGCTTGACTTATGAACACGACGTACAAGACGTAATCTCAGCAAAAACCTGTGGTCAAAAATACAATCATATTATGAAATGTTTTATGGGTTATGTTTTACATCTTACGAATCATTTTGATAAGTTAAACGCGTGAAACAGCAGGAGAAGTAGCAACTAGGTTGATGAAACCTAAAGTGTGTATTCAGAAGAAGTTGGCCGAAATTCCTAGTGTTCGTTGGTTACGTAATGATGGTTGTGAGATATAATTTCAGCTTATTACTACTGTCATTATTAACCTCATGTTTGATTTTTGCGTCAATAGCGATGAAATGTTTTTATTACTTATTTGTGGTCGAATATTTTACGTCTGCCCTTAACTGAATACTTTGTTTTAATCTGCATACATTTGATACAATGTCAATGGCATCCAGTACTACTGCATATTTTTGAAATCTTGGGAGAAAAATACAGAAACTGGTGTTTTGTTTGAAGAGACTTTGTCATTTTCGGTATCGCTGTTATACAATTCATATATCAGTTTCATTTCATTGCTTCGTGGACATCAGAAAAAAATGAATGTAATATAAAGTCACTTTTAACAGAAACAAAAAATTACATCATACATTTTGAAAGTGTTTTTATGTGCATCAACCAGCAGCTGAAATGTAACAATCATGTCTAATTCCGTTCCTGATTTATCTGGATGTGTTAATGACACTGCCTGCCTTTTGTTGTTGTTGGGCTGAAGTAGAAATGTTTCAACACTAGAGTTACCTTTCAAAAGATCTTGATAAAATCAACATCTCAAAAAACATGACATCTTATGGTATTTCGCAGCTGTGAAACATTTGAAAACATTTGGGAAGTATAAAAGTAACAGTATTTTATACCGTCGTATGAGACCATAAAATACCAAACTGAAAACTTCCTGTGAATTCAAACAAGCTTTTAAAGTCAACAGTAATAGATGACTATTCATATTTTTCTTTTAATAAAGTCTGATTCTGATCTACCAATCAGTTACTTCACGACTGATCACCTAAACCAGTTCTTAGTATCCTTTACACTGTAACTGCTTGTCAAGTTTGTCTCCCTGAGCTGACAGCTTTACAGTTAGCAGAATGGAATGTTTGTTGAGAATCAAAGGAAATTCCGTGTTTGCTGACCTGGTTACTATCAACCACCTTGAAATGTGGTCACCAAGATAAGGGAATCAGCATCACGGTGCATTCTGATTGACGTTAGATGGCTTAAGGAAGTCACCAAGGGCCAGGCACCAGGGTTTTTGCCAGCTTGCTTCCATCAAAAAGGCTCATTTACAAACTCAAGGAAATTATTGTATCCTCTCAGATATCACCAAAATACTCGGTCCATTTTCGAATGTGAAACCCCCAAAAAGGAACAGTTGAAATCCCTTTCCATCTCATTTCATTTCAATTTGCAAGTATTTCACCAGTGATATCTCAATCCCGTTTTGTATCAGGTCAATTGCTGCCCCGAATTGCAGATTCACAGCGTCTCCAGCTGCAGCACTGGGTAGCGCAGGTTTAAATAAAATTAAATATACCTAGCTTATGATCACTAACAAGCACGAAAAATAAGTCCAAGGCATGTATATTTATCACAAATATGCTGAGATGGATTGCGGCTTTTGTATTATGCAAACAGCTAAAGGATCTCTGATTACTTAGACTTTACAGATACTTTCAGATATCCCAAAAAGTCAAAGTTTATCTTACATGACTTGTTGAGACACATAGTGTAGAGGTTTTATTTTAGGCAAATGACGGTAAAATATTTTAAACTCACGTTGTAAAAAATATGATGACTAGTAAGTTAAGGCACACACCCGTTATTCCGAAAAATGCGATAAACAGACCAACTGCATACTGATAATATGGATGTGGTTGTTGAAATTTATACCAATAGGGTAAAACAATGCTTTCGAAATCTTTCATCAATGGTCTTAACATTTCAATCGTCTGGTTAGAAGGCATATTTAATCAGTCCTATAAAATGAAAAAAAGATGATATTTTGCGAATAAACTGTCGGTAATTTTTGAAATATGGAAGTAGATTAAATTCTATAAAAAAGAACACTGGGTAAATTCTACACCTTTATAGATTACTTGATGTTTATGAAGTAGTGAATTCGATGATAACTCCATGACACTAAAACTTCATCGTAAAACAATTTAGGAATTAAATGGTCACTGGAATAGATTGTGTGTTACACCTCAACATTATGCTTGAATATGTGAGCCTGAAAAATGGAAAGGTCATGCAGTTTGGAAAACAAGGAACATTCTGTACTGCAACACTATAATATTCAAAGAAGTGCTAAGTGTCACTGAAACCAGTTAAACATAATGCAGCAAAACACAATTTTCCAAATAAAACTAAGAAAATCTAAACAACATTCAGGAATGAGTGGCACAGTGAATGAGAGAAAAGCAGTTTGGTTTATTAATAAAGGTATTTTCATGCTGAAGCAATTGTGACTTTCTGAAAAATGTATGCACTGGTTTCGTAAATCCTATTGCTTTAATAAGTTTAAACAAGGCATGGAACATAAAGTATGTTAAATAATGTGTAAACGTTTTACACCACTTCATTTCCAGACAGTATAAAGTTGCTTTAAATACTGTGGGTAATAAATGAGTAGAATATTTACGGTCTGAAGTAGTAGAGAAAATTCATCTAAACTGAAAACATTTACAGAGGAGGGGAAAGTGATAATAGGTGGATAACACAAACACTCATTTATTTAAATGACGGGACGGGGAAATTCTTGATACTTTAAGAGATAGGAAATCTAGGTGACAGATAATAAATCCACAATTACTTAAATTTACTACTGTGAAAAAGTTGACTGAATGCAACAAAATCAGATGGTCATCAAAAGTTCTCTAGCACTCTGAATTGATTCCTTTGCTTTTAGGTGAGTTATCGTGATCCTAATCCTTCCCCGAGTTCCTTTATTCTTCTTATATTTATCCTGATACTTTTGGCTGGTTCTCATTATTTTTGTCTTTTACTTTTCAATCTACTTTCCCACATCTTAACATGTTAGTTCCAATCTCCTATTAAAATCCTTTTGATACTTCACTCCCATTACTGATTGTTAGTAAGTTAAAAATACCACTTGTCAAAATTAGAAGACAAATAAGCGAACAATATTGTTTTCAACTACCTCCTAACAGGCTTTATGCATTTTCTCATATAGGAGTCATTAAAACAATCATGGTGTACTCTTTAGGCGGTAATAATAAGGTATTGAAGCATGAAGTAGGGTACAATATATGATGCGTACCATTATTTTTGACCCGTCTATTTTTTGATTCGTTAGTCATAACCTTGATTTATTACATGCATCATTACTCACTCCCTTTCTAACTCCGTGATCAACTCACTATTCCCGCCTAGAACATTCTATTTTGATGACTTAACATCCAACCATTAGCCCATAAAAGACTCGTCTGTTTGCCTTTTTTACTATAAATACAATTTGTCGAAAAGGAACGCTTATTCGCTGAGTCACTTTGTGTTTTTGAAACTGATGTTTCTCTACACAAAGTGTTAAATATCAGTTTAGCATCCAACTGTAAAGATAAATTGATAAACGCCACATAAGTTTAGCATTAAGGTTCTTCATATCTGGCCATCCATGTATAGTCTTCAACAGACTGAGATGATACAGAAACTGGGGAGGAAATAGACTACTGAAGAATGTTTTACTAGTAGAGACTATGATCATGCTTCATGACCGTCTCAGAAGTTCAAAAACGTCTTTCCAAATGTTCATTTGTATGTTACAATATGAATACGATGACCAGTTTAGCTACTGAAAATCCACTGTAAGAAGACAAATCAGTGTTATTAGTGAAAAGTTCATATGAAGTGAAGATATATTGATGAGACATTATCTTAAGTGAAAGAGATTTTAACTCAGCAAACACAAATTAACTCAGTGGAAAATCTCTTAGTAAAAAAAGGAGTTCTGTGTTCATACGGTAAACTAAAAGAAGGACTAACTATCACTGTCAACAATGTAAGAGTACCTGTGTATGCGGAAACGTTCACTATGAAATGCGAACGACCAATATTTATTTAAATTTATTAAAATGAAACTGGGTTTCACAAAGGACACATGGACAATTAAAAAGGGGTATATCTACTCTACAGATAACAACCTTGAGGATTATAAGAACTAATAATTAACTGTGTACAATTACGGCCAATTAAAAAGTAATGTATAGAAAGTTGATAGTAGACTTCAAACCGTCACGGTATCAACAACATGAATGCATTTCTCAAGCAAAGATTGAATATCCAGGTCAGTAGAATAATTTTTTTCAGTGTTCCCCTAAGGGGGAGATTTTCAGAATGAACACTTTTCATATTAAAAGATCACATTTGAGTCTGATTATCAAAAATTTCATACAGTAAAATAGTATTATTTACTGGATAACGTTTCAGATATAATTTACTGTCCATACTCATATCAGGTATCTACATGACTGTTGTCTTAATGACACTTTTTTCAAAGGTATCTTACACAATGAACTAGGTTCAGAAAAGAGAATATATTGAAGAATACCGCATTAAAAATGATGTAAAATATCACTGCTGCATAACATAAGCTTAAGTGACTTAAAAATAACTAAGTTCTAAAAGCATAGTAGAAAGGGAACATCTCGCTACAGACGATATTAATAAGGTCAAATTTTTTAGGACAAGATGCTGTAAACTAAGTATGTAGCTTAATGTGAATGAGATCATAAATTGCTTCTTACACTATATTACATTGTCCTGTAATGAAAGCCCAACCATGTTACTCGTCGGAGAATATCCTTCAAATTATACGTTAAGTTGCCTAGTTAACAAGTACTGCTCTGCTTATCTCAATTCTTCCTTAAATTGCACACAGAATTTTCCTAATTGTGAATGCTTTTGAACGTTAAAAAAATTCATACAGGTAACCATAAATTACTAGAATGATTACAACAGAAACAGAGCCTGGTCACATTCATCTGCCCCTGATTATTTAGTAGGATAACTGATCATTGTATTTCTCAATCTTATTTATGCGTTAATAACTAAAAAGGTCGTGCATACAAAAACAAACAAAAGAGCAAACAAAATTTTGAGGCTCACTGGTACCTTCAAACAATCAAAACAAGCAACTCTATTCCTAATTCGGATGATGTAAATTAACCTGTAATAAGCAAACAAACAACAGTGCTTATTGTGTTTCCTAATAATTAATAAAATAATGCAAGTTGAAAGACTGAGTAAATATACTGTGACAACGCGGTCTCCACCAATTTTATTTTATTTTTAATAGCACGTAAAAACAAGTACCTAGTTATCATTGCCTAAGTAGGTGAAGTTTAGTCGCCAGTTCATTTTCAGTATCCGGGAGAAAACACCTCTGAAAATTTAAAGCATCGGGTTGCCATCCCTAACTCCGCAGGTGATTCCGAATTCTGTTAGAAGAAAGTTGAAGTCAGGAAATAGAGAAAAGCAGTAAGTTCAACATAAGCAGAAAAACTTGCACTTTGATAAGAAAATTTTCATCAGCCTTCAAATTTTAATAAATTAGTAGAATATCATACTCCTCCACGCTTGTAGTGTACTGTACAAGTTTATCTGTGCAAAGTACTTTTCGTTGACCGTCAGCAAGTACATGCACTCATAAACTTCCCTATTTTATTATTTTTGGATAGCTCAATCTTTAATTATATGTCAATAACGAGTCATTAGGAAAGCAGTCACTTGTGATCCTTTTTATCAGAAATTTATCTCTTTCTAAAGAGAGATTTTATTTTTCTCGTCGGACAAGTAGGGCATAACCTTAATGCAAACCCATTTGCTCAGATATTTTTCAGCAAAAATGTCAGTGAATAAAGTTATTTAAACTAGCATCTACATTTTAAAAAATCTACAGACATCAAAATATCTTATGATCCTTTTTGTTGAATATGTCTTTCGGGTACTTTGATCCGCGAACTGTTGCAAACAAAGTTCACTCCTATTTGTCTATTCTAAATTTGTACTTCAGCTATTTAAATTGTCCGTTCAAAAATGTTTCACTTGTAAAGTGATAAGTGATATTTTCTCATGAAAACATAACTCAGTGATTGTTAACAGTGCACAAAAAGATATTTAATGTGATCACTACTAATCACTATACACAAATCTTTGTGAAAACCTAATTTTCATTTAAGGCTTGCATTATGATTATATAAAGTACCTTAAAATAGTGATCCAGCAAACAAGATTCTATGTCGACACATAATTCGCTGTGAGTCAACAATTATATTTTACAGAGATATTGTCAATTAAGAGTTCCACTTACATCTCTTAAAGTCAAGCTTAAACGGCATATGAATAGTGTCTCATGAAAACCTAAATTTATAAATATTTCATGAGATCTTCTGGTTGGTAATCTGAGTTCAATTGATTTCTGAAGATATAGCGAATGGCAAAATACTTGTCTTTTGTGTGCACTTTAACAACTTCATGAAACTGTGGAGAAAGTCTACATCTGTACGATAATCCTCTAGTAAACTGCATCAAAAAAGCAGTGAGAAAATGATAGAAATCCTATGGAGTTTTTCTAAGACTGACCAAATAAAAAACACAAAACATAAATTTCCAAAGTAATGAGACTATAAAAACCAAGCGGATTCTTGTAGTTGTATCACAAGGTTATTTTTTCTGAAAATGATGGGTGCCAATATGAATTTAGTGGTGAAATCATTTGAAAATTTGTTATCTGCATTTTTATCAGATACAAATGACGCTTTACAGATGAATACCTCCGAACCTTGGCTAAACAAAGCACAAACAACATTTTTGCTGGCGGCAAAGATCAGCGTTCTGTTCCATATGTTTGCCTGCACAAACCAAAGAGCTTAGTGCCACAAATTTCCGCCAAACTTTGCCTCCAAATATAATGGTGACTTTTTCTAACGTTTCCTTGTGCTGAAAT